TTTTTCATTATATATCAGTCAATCATTTTCTAATCTGATTTGATTAATCTGATCTAATCTAATCTGCATCTTTTCTTCTTTTTACTCTTTCTCCATCAATTGAACTATTTCTTTAACAAACAAAATTATGTTATTTTCAGCTTGTTAGAAAAGACTGACCTCCTGCCTGCTCTTGACCAGGCCGACTCGGTCTTCCTCCTTTTACCTGCAGCATCGATCTGTCGCTCCTAAAGATACAGAGGTAAACAGCTGAGTATGACTACACATTAATAACACTCTATATCTACTGTAGATAACTGTAGCTACGTTTGGTTCTTTCTCCTGGACGGACTGTGTCCCAGTCTGCTGAGGAGTGGAGGCCGGAGTGATGAGAGCTGATCTCGTCAGTTCAGAGCTGTGACACAACGAGCCTGACCCACAGAGACAAATAGAGACAAACAGAGACACACAGAGACACACCAGAGACAAATAGAGACAAACAGAGACACACACAGAGAGACAGAGACAGAGACAGACAGAGAGACAAGAGACGGAGACAGACAGAGACAGAGACAGATGTCTCTGTCTCTCTGTTTGTCTCTGTCTGTCTGTGTGTCTGTGTCTCTGTTTGTCTGTGTGTGTGTCTGTCTCTGTCTCTCTGTCTGTCTCTGTCTCTCTGTCTGTCTCTGTGTGTCTCTGTCTGTCTCTGTCTGTCTCTTTTTGTCTCTGTCTGTCTCTGTCTCTGCGTGTCTCTGTGTGTCTCTGTTTGTCTCTGTTTGTCTCTGTCTGTCTCTGTCTCTGTGTCTGTCTCCGTCTCTGTCTCTCTGTCTGTCTCTGTGTGTCTCTGTCTCTGTCTCTCTGTCTGTCTCTGTGTGTCTCTGTGTGTCTCTGTTTGTCTCTGTTTGTCTCTGTCTGTCTCTGTCTCTGTCTCTGTGTCTGTCTCCGTCTCTGTCTCTCTGTCTGTCTCTGTCTCTGTCTCTCTGTGTGTCTCTGTGTGTCTCTGTTTGTCTCTATTTGTCTCTGTGTGTCTCTGTGTGTCTCTGTTTGTCTCTATTTGTCTCTGTGTGTCTCAGGCTCGTTGTGTCACAGCTCTGACCTGAGATCAGCTCTCATCACTCCGGCCTCCCTCCTCAGCAGACTGGGACACAGTCCGTCCAGGAGAAAGAAACCAAACGTAGCTACAGTTATCTACAGTAGATATAGAGTGTTATTAATGTGTCATACTCAGCTGTTTACCTCTGTATCTTTAGGAGCAGATCGATGCTGCAGGTAAAAGGAGGAAGACCAGTCGGCCTGGTCAAGAGCAGCAGGAGGTCAGTCTTTCTAACAAGCTGAAAATAAACATAATTTTGTTTGTTAAAGAAAATAGTTCAATGATGGAGAAAGAGTAAAAGAAGAAAAGATGCAGATTAGATTAGATCAGATTAAATCAAATCAGATTAGAAAATGATTTGACTGATATAAATGAAAAAATGAAAACATATCAGAACCAACACACCTGGATGGTTCTGTTTTCAAGTCATGTGACCTGAATGGTGACGTCGAGAGCCAGATGTGTGACGAGGTGTTTGTAGGCGGGTCCAGTGGATCCAGAGTTCGTCTGATGGCCAATCAGCTGCAGGCGAAGCTGGACGAGAGCTCGTCTACCTGCAGGAGTTCTTCTTCTTCTTCTGCTGTTGCGGCTTTACGTCGACAGGTGAGTTCAGTCTGACGTCAGACGGAGAGGTTTCTGATTTCTGATCAATTATATCGAACTTCCTGATCTAACAGAGACAGACGTCAGATTGAACAATATTTAACATTTGTTCAAACAACACGTGAGAGTGCAGAGTGAACCCTGTCGTCCAGGTGTGACACTGAGCCCCGCCCCGACACATTCAAACATGTCTCAGTATTACACTGTTTGATGAAGTCAGACGTGTGTCGGACTGTATTAAATACTAGGACTCAACAACAACAACAACAACAACAACAACAACAACAACAACAACAACAACAACAACAACAACAACAGTTTATGTGTCACTTCTGGTGTTGGCCAGCAGGGGGAGGTGTTGTCCAGCCCTGCAACCCCCTCAGAGTCTGCAGACGCTGCTGCCCAGCCACCATCATGGAAACCGGTAAAAACTCATAGACAGTAGAGTTCAGTAGAGACCAGTAGAGTCCAGAGACCAGTCGAGTTCAGTAGAGACCAGTAGAGTTCAGTAGAGACCAGTAGAGTCCAGAGACCAGTCGAGTTCAGTAGGGACCAGTAGAGTCCAGAGACCAGTCGAGTTCAGTAGAGACCAGTAGAGTTCAGTAGAGACCAGTAGAGTCCAGAGACCAGTAGAGTTCAGTAGGGACCAGTAGAGTCCAGAGACCAGTCGAGTTCAGTAGAGACAGATGAACCCTCAGGGTTTTAGTCCCCTACAGGACTCAAACAGTGCTGGATCCCTGACGACCTTTAGACAACAACAACAACAACAACAACAACAACAACAACAACAACAACAACAACAACAACAACAACAACAACAACAACAACAACAACAACAACAACAACAACAACAACAACAACAACAACAACAACAACAACAACAACAACAACAACAACAACAACAACAACAACAACAACAACAACAACAACAACAACAACAACAACAACAACTTGTTTCCCATGAAGAAAATAATATATTGATCTGATCAAATCAAAGAGTGAGGGTCTGTAATTTAATTCAAACAGTGAGGAACTTGTTTCAGCTGCATCTGACTGTTAAACATGCTGCATGCTGGGTAACAGACACAACACGGTTTGTTAAAAATCTGAGTTTAATTTGATCAAACCTGAAACTTGAGAGCAGCCGACACACATCAGATAACATTACAGTGTCTCTAAAGCCGTGGTCTGGATCCTGACCCCTGAGTCCCTGAATCCCTGAATCCAGATTCAGTGCTCCACCTCAGTGACCCTCTCTGTCCCTCTCTGTCCCTCTCTGTCCCTCTCTGTCCCTCTCTGTCCCTCTCTGCCTCAGAAGAAACGAACTCTTCAACAGGAACAGATGAGTTTTCGGTTCAAAGAGAAGCTCAAGTCTCAGAGTGTTGACACCAAGGATGAGCAGGTACCATGCTGCAGTGCACTGTGGGTGACGGTGCTGTGTGTTGTCAGATCCTGGATCTGACGTGTTGTGGTTCTCAGGTTCAGTCTGACCTGAGATCAACGGCCGCTCTCTCCTCAGGCTCCCTGGTATTTCCTGGTATCAGCAGCTGAGTGTTCAGTGTTGTAGTGAAAGCTCTGAGGGCATGTTGGTTCATGTGATGAACTGCAGATCAACAACAAACTGTCTTCACTCAGTCACATGAATGGTTTCTATTGAGAGGAGAACTGACCTCAGATCAGCCTGCAGCTCTCACACAAACTACTGAAGGGGATTCATGTGCTGACTGAGCAGCTGGACCTGCTCCAGTCTTCAGTAAACTGCTGCTTTCACACCTGACACAGTGAGTACACTGTGCTCTGTTGTCATGACGATGAACCTTCAGTTCAGGTTGATGTTTATTTGTCATCACGTGTAAGAAATGTGGGTTAAACCAATGAGATGTGGACAACCTGTAGCATCCTGTAGCTGGATCAGTGTGAACCAGAGGCCTGTATTACGATGCAAGATCAACACAGTTTAGTTATCTGGCTTGACTGAACCTAACATTGACCTGATCACCTGCACTACGAAGCAGGTTATCACCTGGCTCAGTTAACCCTGGATTTACCTGTCCAGGTACGAGCACCTTCACGTGAAACAGGCGCATTTGTTAATTATAAGCAGCATTGTCTGAACCATGAATGAAATTCTTAGTATGATATGAGAAGACACGCTGACACCTGCAGAGAAGTTCAGTTATAGCAACGTCCAACAATGACATTCAACAAGGTGACATGGAAACAATCATATATTTAAACGATCTAAATATAATTTCTGTTAAAGTCAGACTAAAGATATAATGTAAATAAGAGCATGAATTATCATCATGTTGTTGAAGAACAAACTGTTATGAACATGAAGAGGAGAGGAGAGGAAGAAGACAGGAGAGGAAGAGGAGAAGAAGAGAGGGAGTGGAGGAGAGGAAGAGGAGGAGAGGAAGAAGACAGGAGAGGGAGAGGAAGAGGAGAGGAAGAGGAGAGGGAGAGGAGGAGAGGAGAGGAAGAAAAGAGGAGAGGAAGAGGAGGAGAAGAAAAGAGGAGAGGAAGAGGAGGGAGAAGAAGAGGAGAAGAGGAAGAGGAGGAGAAGAAAAGAGGAGAGGAAGAGGAGGAGGAGAGGAAGAGGAGTAGAGGAAGAGGAGAGGAAGAGGAGTAGAGGAAGAGGAGGAGAGGAGTAGTTGAAATGTTCATTCTAATGATGAAATAATTAACAGTGAGACTAATTGTTCTAATCAAAGACATCAGAGGTTCAGGTTTCTCTCCAGTCGTGTCACAGAGTCTCCTCATGTTGTTCTGAGCTCAGTGATGAAGAGGAGAGTAAGAGGAGAGGAGAGGAAGAGGAGGAGAGGAAGAGGAGAGGAAGAGGAGGAGAGAGAGAAAAGAGGAGAGGAAGAGGAGAGCTTCATCACTGGCAGGAATCCTCCATTAAAGAATCTGTGTTCAGGTCAAATGAAGATCTGACAGTGATTAGATTTTATTTAGTGATAAACTGTGAATTCTGCAGAAGCTTTGGTTTAAAACCAGAGAGACACATGGAAAGACTCAAACAGGAAAACTATTCCACTGATCTATATGTTCTATCTACTGATCGTTATTATTGATCACTTTATTGTGAACTCTTTTGTCCCTGTCAGGATCGTGTAGGAATGATGACTCAGTTTTTCCAGTGATCTGATTGGTCAGTAGTTTGGCTGTTGACAGGTTCTGATCTGATCCTCTAAAGTTGCGCTGGAGCAGGTCAGGAGTTCAGCATCAGTTACCATGGTGATTTACCCCGATAACAAGGGAACCACCATCGTAGAACTGAAAACCCAGAGTTACACCTGAAGTTACCTGATGACCTCAGATCCTGCTTCGTAGTACAGGCCTCAGGGGTCTGTCTTTTGTCTGTCTGTGTGTGTGTGTGTGTGTGTGTGTGTGTGTGTGTGTGTGTGTGTGTCCTGACCCACTTTCCAGTCCAGACTCCAACAACTTCAGAAAACTTCTTCTTCACTTTGACACCACATGAGCTGCTAATACTCACAACACAACAGAAGTGTTTCCAGGGGACACCAACAAGTGACGGACCTGAAGGCTAAACTAACAGCTAACAGCACATTTTTGCAATAATATCTGAATCATGTGATATTGACGTTAACACTGCTAATAGTTGTCTTTATAACGTCAAAATTCAGGAGGCATCGAACAACAAGTGCGCCACTTTTTTGTGTCCCCTGGAAACACTTCTGTTGTGTTTTGAGTATCCTCAAACTGATGAAAATGTTTTCTGAAGTTGTTTGTGTTTTGTCTGTTTGCATGTGTTTTCTTAAGTTGTAGTGCGTTGAGCCCTCAGGGCCACCGTCATTTTCAAACTCAGCTTGTATCTGCACTTTAGGAACCAGGCTCCAGTCCCCATGTGAACCAGAAACCTGATTTCTGTAGTCAGGGAAGGGGGTTAGAGAAACCTGATGTCGACAGGTAGATTTCTCCTGGAGAACAGTGATTTAGTTTTGAACAATCTGAGTCTGAATCAGTTTCATAGACAGAGAATGATCAGACACAAGAGGAATTTATTTCAGTGTTGGTACAGACTAGAGATAAACATTATAACATGATACGTTCAGTCTGACTGAAACCCTCTCACTTCCGGGGCTTCCCTACACTCAACAGACCCGTTCCCAGTAGGAGCAGATGGGTTACAGATCCACATGTTCATGTGGTCTGCCTGAGGCCTCATAGGGACTTTCTACAGATTTACAGAGTCCAACCACCTAATTGCGACGTGAGTATCATTAATACTCGAGTGAAATTAAAACTTTACCACAGGGACCCAGACCTGGCGTTACGACTGACGGGACCAAGTTAGACCAGGTCTGTTCAGATCTAGGTCAGTTGGACTGTTCCGTCTTCAGATAAAATCCTGTAGTGTGTGATATGTAAAGACTCTTCAGTTGCTGTGATGATGTCACCTGTGTGTTGCCAACAGAGACGTACAGGTAGATAAACATCTTTACCTGAAGTTAGATTTGTGTTAAAGACTTCACTCAGGTCCAGGTCTCTCCGTGGACTCTACAGTCCATCCAGAATCTCACCATCCAAGTTGCTGCTGCTGCCGACAGCCTTTGGTGCAATATCATGTGACAATCAGCGCTGTCTGTGGATTTGTGGGTCATTTGTGTCCACCTCCAGAGCTTCAGTGGTTCAGGGTGTCCTCTGGTGAATGTACTCAGTCAGAGACCAAAACACCAGAGACACGTTGGTTTGTCCCTGAATCTTTCAGTCGGTCTTCAGGTTTGTCCTGAGCTTAAGAAAAGCAGCTGCTCATCACCTGCAGAAATAATCAGTGTGAATTAAAGACTGCTCAGAAAAATACTTGGACCCCGGTTACACGGTCAAGAGTTAGTATCCATGGAAACAATGAGTTCACATTTTGCTGAGTTTTGAATTGATGAACCATTCCTCTCAGTGTGCCGGTTGGTGGGTCGGGTCATCCACAGAATCTGAGCGGGACTTGGTTCTGTTCTGTTAGTTTTCTGATGTGTGTCTGTTGTGTCTGTTCTCTCCCTCATGTCTGGTGTCTGATCAAAGTGTATTCAGATGTACACTGTTGGAGTGAGCTCATTGGCTGAGCAGATAGCCAATCGAAGTCAGACACAGGAGGAAGTGAGTTCGGTAAGATTCTTATTCATTCACCTTCTTCAGGTTCGTTCACATTAAACTTCTGTCTCTCAGTCACTTCAGCTAAAAACCCGCTTGTCCAGGATGAGAGTCCTGGTTCGGTAAAGTCCACTTACCTGGAGTTCTGGAGCTTTTGTATAATGAGTTCAGAACCACAAGAAGGGAGCTGGTTGACTTCGATCTGAATTTAACTGATTCAATCAAACTGAATCAAACTTGATTTTTAAATAATGGTCGAAGAAGACGAAGTGCTAAACACTTTCATGACAACTGAGTAAAGAGTGTTTAATAGGGTCAAAAGCTCCTGAACAATTCAGTAAGTGGACCTTGAGTTCAAAATGTCTTGTTGTTTTGATGCACTGTGTTTGGAAATGGAAAAGTCATTCTGCCTGTTTACAGTTAGTGATTGATCTGATCCATATTTATATTATATTTATACTGGTCAGAATTCAAAGCCTTGACTTCAGTAAAAGTATCAGCACCACACAGTAAGAATACTTCATTACAAGTAAAAGTCCAGCATTAGTAAAAGAGGTGACAGTAAAGTGAAATGTACTTCAGGTATCAAATGTAAAAGTAAACACATTAAATAATACAAAACTTCTTGTATTATATAAAAGATCTATATATTTCATTGATCAGAAGTCTAATGTTATCAGTACTGTGTGACGTCATACTCTTACCTGTCAGATTATAACAGGTACATTTACCAGGATAACAACTAACATGGAATTAATTCCATCAGACAGTTTCATAAAACCTGATGGTGACATCACATCATCCCCAGATTAACACGTGAATTTCTTCTCTACAGTTTGCAGTGAGCTGCAGTGACGTGTGTTTCCTGTGTAAGAAGAGAGTTTATGTGATGGAGCGTGTCAGTGCAGAGGGATTGTTCTTCCATCGCAGCTGTTTCCAGTGTGATTACTGCAGCAGCACACTCAGACTCGCTGCATATGCCTACGACCAACACAGCGGTCAGTTTCATCTCTTTATCATGATAACTCAGTTAAAGGCTCAGTTCACCCAAATCACAGGAAGTCATTCTCTCCTCCTTTATCCAGTCACATAGTTCACTTAGAGAAAAATGGAGTTCAGGTTGTGCTGCTTAATATTTAATTTATTATGATAATGTAAGTTATTCAAATGAAGCAGCTTCACATAGAAAAATGTTAGATCGGATGGAAAGTGAAGACATATAGAGTCACTCCTTTAAATCTGTCATTGTTTATTTCGCCCCCCCTATATGTTTCCCTGTCAAAGTTTAAAACGAACCCTGTGGGGTTTCATGCACTGACATGTAGATACATTCAGCTCTTTGTCAGGCTGGTTAATAACTGAACACTGTGGACTCATGACTGCGGCCTCTGCTCTGCTGCCGAGCTGCAAACATACCGCAGGGAGAATAACTGTTCTTTATGTACATCACCATGTGAAATGGATCTCAGATTGCTCTCTATTTTCCATGTGTAATAAACACTGACAGATTCTTAATTCTGGTGCTGTTCACCCTTAACAACTTGATTACATACATGAAGGCAGGTTTATTATTTCATAGTGCATCGGCCTGATGGGACAGCAGTGGTAAAGGTGAAGTTGTCCAGTGGTGCAGTGTGCACTCTGACAGAGCTCCAGTATCAGCCTTCAATTCTCCTGATTCAACAAGCTCAGTTGATTCGAGCTGATATAATATATGGAAGGATGGGACACTGCAGTGACGGCTGTCCTCACCCAGTGGCTTAGTCACCAACAGACTCTGCAGGAGGCCGAGGAAACCTCTGCACTGGTGTCTGTAGAAAACCTGATAAAGTCCTGAACAGGACACAATGTTGGATCTTGGACTGTGATGGAACGATTCCACGCCGCCACCCTCCCCCCACCCCCACCCCCACCCCCCGTTTAAAGAGAAGATCCTCTGTACCAGCTCTGAGTGTGTTCTGCTGAACAGTGTCAGTACAATAGTAATAAATACATTCTGTATGCTTATAACTGATACTTTAATACTTATACTGTATTCTCTAACCACACCCAGCAGTGATGTCACCATGTACTGGAGTATACCTGTGCATCACTGCAGCCAGGTGAGAGGTCAGCAGGTATAGAGGAGGCTCCTGTCAGTCCATCAGGCTGATTTCACACTCATCACTGCTGCTGCCCAGGGTCGTCTGATTACAACCACATGATGGTGTCATGTGACCTCTGAGTGTGTGTGTTCCTGTCAGTGTGTGTGCTACAGTGCGTTAGAGCCTGGAGCCTCGACCAACCTTCTGTGGTCGTCTATCTCAGACTGTGGCTTTATGTGTGTTGCTGCTGGTGTGTGTGTTGGTGTATTTTTATATCACAGAGTGTGTATTGTGTGTTTGAGCTTCAGGACAAACGAGATCTCCTGTTTGTTTGGATAAAAATCTCAGCAGCCAATCAGAGCGGAGAGGTCACATGACCAGAGTTTAAAGTCTGAGGCAGAACATGATTTGAATGTTGGTATAAAAACCACATGAGGTTCAAGTCAGTGATCCAACATCTGGTGGTGGAGATAATCTGAGCTGCTGTGAACATCTGTCTGAACACCTGCCCTGATGTGTTTTCCTTCTGTTGTGTCTCAGGGAGGTTTTACTGCCTTCAGCACTTCGACTGTCGTCTGAACGCCGCAACCGTGAGGAAGAGACCGGCGCCGTCTGACAGAGCTGCTTCACACCGAACGTCTATAGTAAGAAACCGGAAGGTTTTATGAAGGAAACTTTAAAGTGTTAATCAGTGAAAGTATTTATACTGTTAACAAGTTGGTTACTGAAAACAGAAGAACTGTCCGTTTTTGAAAGTAATAAATGAAAGCAGTTAAACTGTCATTTGAGGAGATGAAGTGACTGAGATTTCACAGATTTTCACAGGTTTGTGACTGAAAACAGTTTAAGTGTGAATACATCAGTTCAACATGTTGAAATGTCAGAAACTGAGTAGTTGAAGTGTCAGTTAGTGTGTATGTGTCAGCAGCTGTAACATAAGTGTTGGTCTGTGAAAGCAGCTGAAGTGCTGTGTTACCTGACTGGTGACAGGTGAGTTGATGAGTAATAAAAGTGTTGGTGGTATCAGAGGATTCTGGCCCTGGTCCTGGTGTAGAGTCTCTGGGTGATTGACAGGTGGTCATTGGGGTGTAACTTGTTGTTTTCCTGCAGGTGTCTCTTGTGTTGTTGTTGACAGACAAATCACCTGATGTATGATCACTACACTCACTGCGTATGTTTTTTTTCCCTGCAGGTGTCTCTGGCTTCAGCTCCCTCCCTCTCCTCCACTGACTCTCTGATCTCAGCTGACCACCGCCGCCCGTCAGGTGAGCTCTCTTCACCTGCATCGTGCTTTCAGTCTTCTTACCTGTTCACACTGAGCATGCTCCTTAAACTGGAATCAATGTGGGCTTTAGTGTGTGTGTGTTTCTGTGTGTGTCTGTGTGTGTGTGCGGCTGTGTTGGGGTGTTTGCAGCGGTTTCTGTGATGGCGGCGATGCCTGAGAGGGTGGAGCTGGAAAACTACCGACGGAGCTCCACCAAGGCGGAGGAGGAGCTTGAGGAGGAACCCAAGGAGGTCTCTGAGGAGACCCTGAACTGGTTCAACCTGGGCGTGGAGCAGAAACACAACCGCAGGTCCAGGTTAGAGAAGACCGAGCTGTATGCAAGGTCATTAGTGACAAAAACACATGAACTGGTAGAATTAAAAAAACAAATGTTGAACTCAAACCAACTTAAGTTAAAATTAAAACTCTTAACGCCAGTTATGAATTTTAATGAAATTTTAAATAGAAACGTTTTAATTGAAATTGTTCATTATTCCACATTTATGTCAGGGGTGTAAAATATAAGTCAAAGCTTCATGGCTTCACTGTATTTTTACATTGAAATTATGAGTGCGACTTTGTAAATCAAATGTTCGGGCCAGTAGGTTCATGTTATTTTTAAATTTACAGTTATGAATTTTAATGTAAAATAAGTCTAAGTTGTGACTTCTTAAATCACATAAATGACTTTTTTATGTCAGTATTGTGACATTTGATTTTATGTCAAATTTATAATTTACTTAATCAAAAGTTTGACATGTTTTATCATCACTATTTTTAATTAAAGCTTTGATGTTCCATAATTTGGACACACAGTGTTTTACTAACTTTTCATTGATTAATTTTCCTCGCAGTACTGGTCTTCCATACACACCCCTCCTCCTCCCCCTCCTCTGTGTGACCTTGTTTTTCTATTTTAAGTTCAGAGTCTGAGATGGAGGAGGAGGAGGAGAACAGAGGAGGAGGTCGACATCGAGTGACTTCAGAGGAGGCCAGAACTTCATGGAAGGAAACTCTGCAGCTCCACCTGAGAAACACCCAGGAAGAGGAGGGGGAAGAAGAAGAGGAGGAGGAGGAGGAGGAGGGGGAAGTAGAGGAGGATGAGGAGGCGGGAGGCAGTGAGGTGGAGACCAGTGACGGTGAGTCTCAGTGTGAATCCTTTGTTGTTTTGTTTGTGATGTGTTTTTATGTTGTGTATGTGTGTTGTAATGTGTTGTGTCATGTGTCTCCCCCTGCTGGTAGAGGGGGAGTACAGCCCCTGGGAGATGGAGCGTCGGTCAGGCCTGTGGCTCCTGATAGAGGAGGAGACAGGTAGAAACCAAAACAAGCTAAACTCGCTCATGTGACCATTTAACAACATTAAGATTATTTCACTTTTTTTATTTTTTTTTTATGATTCAACTTTTATTGAGTTTTGAATTTTTTACAGCATCAAACTGAAGACCAACAGAGAATAAAGCAAAAATAAGATACACAATCTCTTTGTGACAGTAACAGATAAAAGTAAAAACAATAAAATAAAATAAAATGAATACACAAACAGTCCATGACAGGTAAAATTAGTCCATGCTTGATATGTTAATCAGTCTGTCCAGGGGACAACCACAACACTGCTGCATGTCTATTCACTGTCCCATGTAAAATTCACTATCCACAAGTAATCTTCCAGTAAACAGATCCCTCAATTGCACCCAGTCTACCTCCACCTTCATTTCCATGCCAGTCCCCCAAAAACAGCCCCCAACGATCAGTATGTGCAGGGACATTTCAGATTATTTCACTTTTAAACTTGTTTTTTATCATTAATTGTTTTATGTTCGTCCTCAACTTTATCTATTATCACTTTGTAACTGTGTTTTGAAAAGAGCTATATAAATAAATATTATTATTATTATATTATATCATTATTTTCAGCAGCGTTTGGTGAATACGACTTTATTTCTGTTTACTGATGATTAAAGTGACACAGATGGTAAAAGTTTTTACTATGAATCCTGCTTCATTAACACAAATGTGGTTCTATATGAGATTTAATGACATGAATAAAGAATAACAGATTTAAAATTCTATATCATTATTATTATTATTTATACAGTAAATCTTAAATGGAAACATGCAAATATAAATAATGATGACTTTATTTGTATATGATTTATATAATTCTGTTGTCACAATTATTGATTATTGAAAACTGATTTAAAGTAAACAGTGATTAAAAAGTGTTTGTTCTTTTTTGTTTTTTGAACATTGTTTTAAATTCAGTTTGATTAAAGAGTCAGTTCTACATTATATTAGTTCTTCTTCCTCTAACATCCCAAACTAACTCTTTGTTTTCTTTTTCTCCCCACCCCTCCCCCCTTACCCCTCCCTTTCCCAGAGGAGGACCTCACTCCTGGCGTCTCTCAGAATCCCTCCCCAGCTGAAGGAAGTGACATCACACGCTCTGTCACACCTGTGGAGCCGGACTCCACCTCCAGCCTGTCATCATGTATCACTTCCTCCACACCTTCATCTGTGACTCCGCCCCCCTGCACCACACCCTCCACTGCCTCCTTCATCACCACACCTGACTCCACCCACTATGAGGGCAGAGACACAGCTCCGCCCACACACCTCACACCTGCTGTCGTCACGGAAACAGTTGCTCAGAGACATGTCCCCCGACAACCTGTTGCTGGAGGGCGGGGCTCGTTCGATGACATCAGTCCTGAGCTGCCCCCGAAGAAGCCCCTACTGTTGCAGGAGAGAGGGGCTGGCACAGATGAGGAAGTGGCGGAGTCAGAGTGGATGAGGAGGAGGAAGAGACATAAAGGAGCTCACAGCCTCCCCCCTCGCCTCCTCCTTCCCCCTCTGCAGGGCGGGGGCGGGGCTCTTCTCCTCCAGCTAAAGGGTCTCAGGGAGACTCTGCCTCCCGGACAGGTGGAGGTGGAAGGAGGCGGGGCCAGAGCTCTGTGGAGGGCGATGTTCTCTGGAAACAAGAGGGAGAAGAAGAGAGGCAGGACTTTACCTCCAGAGAGAGAAACAGCCAATCAGAAGAGAGCTAAAGGTGATGATGTAATAAACACCCATTCAGACAGAGTGAGGTCACTGTAATGATGTAATAACAGTACTTCCTGTCTCCAGATGTGAGAGGAGGTCTGAGTCTGACAGAAGAGTCTGAACTGGACTCGTCCACTCTGCTGCAGAGATGTTCACTGACACCCAGAAACAATGTAAGACTCAAACACATGACAGCTTTCAACATCGTCAACAACTTCACTGACACAACACTGCACCACACACCAACCAATGAGATCATGACCACTAACCAACCAATCAGAGTAGGGGTTAAGGTTAATAGTGGCCCAGGGTTGAATATGTAAAGTTTCTGAACACCTTCAGTTCTCTCTACCTCTGGTCGATAAGTCTTAGTTATCAACAGTATCAGAGGCTGCACCTCTGTGCTGAGTTAAGGGATCAGACTATTACCTGGATAACTGTAGATATCTGGAGGTGACCTGTCCTGTCTGGTGTTTGTAGCTGCGTTTGGAGCTGTTTGACATCACGTCTGAAATTCAGAGATTCACAATAAAGGAGGAGGAGGAGGAGAACCAGGAGGTATCAGCTGTGATAGACAGGTTTATAGTGTTGTGTTGTGATGGTGGTCTAAGTTCTATGACTAGCAAACTAGAGACTGAATGAAGCCCTCTGCCGTGATCATAGAAGAGATTTTACCCACAAACCTTAGCTGCAGAGGTGAGACTAAAGACTTGAAACCCTGACTTATCTCAGCTACCCTGAGACACAACTCTGCCTTTTTTCAACAGACTCATCTGACTTGGCTTGCTAATTCTACCTTAGACTTGTCGACTGGGACTTGTCTCCACTGATGTAAGACTTGAGTCTCGATTCGAGTCTCGTCTTGACTGATTTAACACTTCATTTGAATTTGTCTTGACTGATTTAACACTTCATTTGGAGTTTGATTAACTAAAGATTAATCTTGACTTTTTCCTGATTGACTTGAGTCCTGGACTGATCAGGATTCACCTGGGATTTGATTTAAACTGTCAACTGTCTTGTACTTGTCACCGCTGACTTGGCTGGTCTATTCTCTTAAACTCTTAAACTTGTCTTTGCCATCTTAAAACTGGACTTAGACCTTTGTCAACTGACTTGAGACTTGACTTGGACCTGCCCTTGCCGCTGCGGACTTAAAAACCTTAGCGATCTTAGTATTTTAATTCAGTATTTATTCAACTTGTGTGTTAATGATTGATTTTGACAATCATATTTCTTCTTGTGTCTCAGCCTGCGTATGTTCCTCATGCTCTGGCTTTTAAACGATCGTACGCCATCAAGGTACAGACAGTACTGAGGGTCTCAGCAGGGTTGTAGTTTCAGTCTAATCATCTAAAGTCCTCTAACACTCTGGTCGACTGTAATGTCATAAAACAATGTTGTTTGTATCATTCCAGAGACGCTCTGTGAAGGACAGAGTTCCCCTCCAGGACTCTGATGGACAGTCCTCTTGTCCCACAGAGGTTGTGGGGGTCCTGGTCCAGCCCAAAGAGCCATCCAGTCTGAGTGTGAAGGAGACCATGTTCCAAAGAGGACGACAGGACGAGGACGAAGACCTGGATACGAAAATCACCCGACGAGTTCAGAGAGTTGCTCGAAGACAGGCCAAACAGGAACAGCTAAAGAGACTCCACAAGGCTCAGGTGAGTTTACCTGAGGACAGAGACAGTCATGGACACATGGAGGTCCAGCTCGAAGTCCCGGGGGTTGGAACCACAGTTGTCAGGGCTCAGACTAAATAAACTGAACCTCGGGTGTTCTCTCAGGTTATCTCTCAGATTATCTCTCAGGGGTTCTCTCAGATGTTCTCTCAGGTTATCTCTCAGGTTATCTCTCAGGTTATCTCTCAGGTGTTCTCTCAGGTGTTCTCTCAGGTGTTCTCTCAGGGGTTCTCTCAGATGTTCTTTCAGATGTTCTCTCAGGTTATCTCTCAGGTTATCTCTCAGGTTATCTCTCAGGGGTTCTCTCAGATGTTCTCTCAGGTGTTCTCTCAGGTAAGAGTCTGTGAATGTGTTTCAGATGATCCAGAGACAGCTGCAGCAGGTGGAGGAGAAACAGAGGCAGCTGGAGGAGAGAGGAGTGATGGTGGAGAAAGCTCTCAGAGGAGAAGCTGGTACAGATACTGTATATATACACACTGATATAGACACACAGACTGTATATAAACACATACACACACAGACTGAATGATCACCTTAACTCACCTGTGTTTGTGTCAGATTACTGGGGCGAATCTAACGACAGTCAAGACCTCGACCTTCACTTGGGAGGTTTGTTCACTTTCTGATTCTTCTTATTAAACTCACTGTACTGTAGGTTACTCGAGTATACTGCACTTTACTGTGGTTTCCTGCAGTTTCCTGTAGTTTACAATAGTATATTATTATAGTATATACCTTTTTCTATCTTTACTGTTCTATACTATACCACACACTGCCATACCATGGGTAGGCTTACTATTCTGTACCATATACTTTTGTCCACTATATTACACTATACTATAAAATACTGTAGTATACAGTTATACCATAAAACAATATACAATATAAACTATACTTAGTATCCTGCAGTATACTATATTTTATGCTATATTGAAACAGTTGAGATTATACTGTATACATACAGTTCCAATATACCACGTTTTTTAGTTTTTTTAGTTTCATCATTATCATACTACAATATACAATACTGTCTCTGTAGGACTGGGTAGACTGGATAATCCGGCTCTGATGCAGCAGTGGTTCCAGCTGGTTCAGCAGAAGAACTCTCTGGTTCGATATGAATCTGAACTCATGATATTGTGAGTATCTGACCTTTGACCCACAGTTTAAACCCAGGAGAAACTGGTTCAGCAGGGATGTGGTCATCAGGACTTGACCCTAGATCAGGGTTCAGATTTTGACCTGTGTGCTGTGTTTCAGCGCTCGAGAGCTGGAGTTGGAGGACAGACAGAGTCGACTGCAGCAGGAGCTCAGAGAGAGGATGGCAGTGGAGGGTAAGACTCATTAACATGACTGATTAAATCAAGCAGGAGTTCCTCTCAGCCTCTGATTCAAACCTTTAAACTCTATCATGAATCTCATACAAATCTGAAACACATGATCCTGTATCAGCAGAGGATTAGGGTTGGGCAGTCTTTCTATATTGTGGTGTTGGTACTTTTGCTTAAATAATTAAGTATCAGTTGAATGAGTGGCAGGTTAATGTGAGCTAAGAGCAAAGACTCGAAAAACATTAACAGTGACCCATTAACCAAACTGCATTAACCAAACTGCAAAGAAGTCAAACTGAAACCTGAGAGATTTGTTTTTGACTGTAAATATGAAGATTCATGGAATTAGAGTCAATAACATTCATAGAAAATCTGTTAAATTTAAATTATATAAAAATTTAAATGTATCTAATTCAGAATTTGCTAGAGAAATAAATGTGTAGTCATCAGTGAAGAGTCAGATATTTCTGTCTAATGGTTTGATACAGACATAAAACATAGTGGTGTTGTGTTGTATGGTGTTGTGGTCATGCAGACCACCTGAAGGAGGACTGGCAGTTGGTGGAGGAGCGTTTGATCCTGGAGGAGATGTTGGAGGTGGTGGAGCAAAGAGACTCTCTGGTGTCTCTGCTGGAGGAACAGAGACTGCAGGAACGGCAGGAAGACCAGGACCTGGAGGAAGTCATGATGACGCGGGGACTGGGACTCAGCTGGAGCTGAAACTGGTCTGAACTGGTCTGAACTAATCTGCAGGTACTCTGCTGGACTTGAGCCAGTCTGGACACCAACACTATGCTAACCGCTGTTCTTTGACTTTTTGAGAAATTTGGTCCAAAACTGAAGTGGACTCATAGAGACCAAACCCAGAACAGACAAGTATGAAACCATTTTCAAAAGCGTCAGAACAGAAACAGACCTGAAGACAGCCAGAGACGTGTTTGTCCCATCAGCTCCTGTGAGATTCTGATTCCAGATTACAGTTGAACTGAACTCTACGGTACCACATAGATAATGTCCTCAGTGTCCCAGAGCAGAGATAACAGTTTCAGACACGTCTCAACTGGTTCTAGAGGACAGACCACTTCAGAGACCACGTTGACCCTCAGTCCATCATATTCCAATCAAATCCCCCACTTAGAGTCCAGGTAGACCACTAAGTGTCCAGATTTAATTCCATTCAGAAATTCTCTCCCCCCCCCCCCCCCCCGTAACTTGAACTGGTTAACTGAGTAACTAGAACTGGTTAACTTAGTGACTTGAACTGGTTAACTGAGTAACTTGAACTAGTTAACTGATTAACGAACTATTAACAGAGTAACTTGAACTGGTTAACTTAGTGACTTGAACTGGTTAACTTAGTAACTTGAACTGGTTAACTGAGTAACTTGAACTAGTTAACTGATTAACGAACTATTAACAGAGTAACTTGAACTGGTTAACTTAGTGACTTGAACTGGTTAACTTAGTAACTTGAACTGGTTAACTGAGTAACTTGAACTGGTTAACTGATTAACGAACTGGTTAACGGAGTAACTTGAACTGGTTAACTTAGTGACTTGAACTGGTTAACGGAGTAACTTGAACTGGTTAACTGAGTAACTTGAAGTATTAACAGAGTAACTTGAACTGGTTAACTTAGTAACTGGAACTGGTCAACTGATTAACTTGAACTGGTTAACTTAGTAACTTGAACTGGTTAACTGAGTAACTTGAACTAGTTAACTGAGTAATGAACTATTAACAGAATAACTTGAACTGGTTAACTTAGTGACTCGAACTGGTTAACGGAGTAACTTGAACTGGTTAACTGAGAAACTTGAACTATTAACAGAGTAACTGGAACTATTAACAGAGTAACTGGAACTGGTCAACTGAGTAACTTGAACTAGTAAACTGAGTGGTGATCAGGTTTTAGGTCCACCACTGTAGTGATGGCGACAGTTTGAGCTTTAGAACTAAATGTTCAGCAGTAAATTCTGAGCTGTATTAAAGTAGTTGTATTGATTATTGTGCCAACACCATCAGCTGTTGATCACCTGTCTGCCTTATCTCATCTCCACTTGCCATTGATCAATAACTGTTTATTAATCCTCTTCCTATGAACATGTTGATGTTATGTGATGAGCAGGTGGTTATTAATGTGACTAACTCTAATGGTCTAATAAAGACTTTAACTTTGATCCCTCTGGTCTGAACTTTTGTCCTCAGTCCTTCAGGTTCTCTGTTCTTCTTCCTCTTTAACATGTTCTGTGCTGCAATTCTTCCTGTTGCTTCATGTGAACACATGATGGAGAAACTGGTAACACAATGAACCCACAGAGAGGCTGTTGATGATCACACGAGGATGTTCATCACTCCACAAACACAAGCCTCAGATTTTCCAGATGATTTGACTCAGACATATTCATCTTTTCTTTTAGTTTATCTGGATTTTCATATTGATCACTGAGAACGTTCTCAGCACAAACATGAATCTGCTTTACACTGAATTTAGTTCTGTTTTCTGATTAATTTGAAGTTTACTGTGGAGGTCGCCCTAAAGAAAACACCTGGTCACTAGTTGATGGAAACGTCTTTATAAAGCAGAGAAGCAGAAGACACAGAGTCACTTCAGGCAGATTTTATTTCTTTATAAAATAAAATTTCTTCTGACATGAAACATGTTCATCCAGAGAAACTAAAAATCATCACAAACAGTCTGAGAGGAAACAGCTGACAGGTGAGAGTGAAGAATAAGAGCTTTGATTGGCTGCTGATACTGTTGTCCGGTGTATTAATACTGGTTTCTGACTGTTTTACAGACTGGTGGTTTGGCTGGCGTCCACTTTCAGGTCTTTGGCGACCAGTCCGGAGGTGACCGGGTGCATTGCTGCCCGGTGAGCCAGGAAAACTCGCACCGCTTCCTCACGGTACTTTTCAAAGTTAAAGACCTCTCTGAAAATAAGAGACTGGGTCAGTTAAACAAGCCACAACTCATCATTTCATTATTATATTCATTATACAAGTAGAAACTAGATTCATTAAACTACATTTATTAAATAGAAACTAAATTCCGACTGAAGGAAAACGAATCGCAGGTGGATCTGAGTTCGTACCTGAACAGTGGTCTTGTGAACTTCATCCGTCCCTGTTCAGTCGCCATCTTCAGTGCCATGGGAACAGCTTCTTCCCACTTGGACCGAACACACAACCTCAGCCACCTGCAGGGAGAAAACAGCCAATCAGGAGGAGGAGGGTTTAAAATCAAAGTAAATCTACTGAGGACCTGATCCAAGACTCTCACCTGAAGTGGATCTCTGAGTTCATACAGGTGTTGAAACCATAAACATCCTGCATCTTCTTCACATGAGTCAGAGGAAGAGGATCCTGAGGACACAGACAGGTGAAGTGGACCTTAAATTTAGTGGACTGTGGTGAGCTGAAGTGGACTTTAAGTGAAGTGGACTGTGGTGCGCTTAAGTGGTTTACCTCCTGAAGCAGGAGGGACAGGAACTCGATTAGCTGGTGGGATGACAGAGCCTTCACATCACACTCTTTAAAGCTGCTCAGATCCTGGTCTTTGGCCTGAAGGGGGACATGGGATAGAAGTTTTGTAACTGTACATAAAGACAATAAGAACAGGTCCACATCAGGTCCAGGTCTTACCTTGATCCATCTCTGGCTCAGAGCGATGCAGGCGTCTGCCAGCGTGGTGTCATACCTGAAATCCAACGATGAAACTACATCAACAAACTGATCAGGTAGAAGGACTTGTAGACCTGATGGAGGTCTTAAAGGATCTACTTACTGAGGTTTGACAGGAGGCATCCCTGGAGTGAACATCCAGGCGTTCCAGTCCACCTTGTTCAGGACATCCACCTCAGAGACACAACAGGGACCATTACTCAAAGAACCTGGAGAACTGAACAAACCTCAAACACCTTTGGGTTCTCTGAGAACACTCAAGTCCACAGTCTAGACCTTACACATTTTGATTCAACTTCCTCCACTGGAATCAAAACCTCAGACCTTTCTTTTAGTCCTCAAACGTCTCATTTCAGCAGCTGACCCCCCACCCCTCAAGCATCCAGATGTGTCTCACCTTGTCTTTGAAGTAGGTGAACAGGTAGTTCTTCCACTCCTCTGAAGTGACACTGCTGTAGGCGAACATCTGGATGTAGGACTTGACAAACCCCATAAACACTTCTGAGGGACACACATCAACAGGTGAGTAAACAATCTAAATACAGTCATGAGGTAGTCTGATGTAAACAAGTGTGTGCAGGTGTCACCTGGGCCTCCCATCAGCTCCTCCAGGTGATACAGCAGAGCAAAGCCTTTCTCATAGGGGACAGAGGAGAAGGCGTCGTCGGGGTCGACGTCCTGCAGACTGGGGATAAGGTTCGTCAAAGGGTTGTTGGCCCCGAAGGTGTTCACCTGAGAGACGACACGGACAGGTAAAAAACTGGACAAACTCAGATCACTTAGTAGGCAACAGGGTTCAGGTTCTCACCGAGTCCTGTAGGTCCTTCCAGCCCCCCATGGCTTTAAACTGTCTGAACTGTTCACTCTCCATACACCTGCCAATCATCCTCTCCAGGTAGACGGTGTGACCCTCGTTCAACCTGTGGACACAACAACGAGCAGCTGCAGAGTCTCAACAGTAAACTGAAAAGTGAAGGAATGAGTGAAGACGTCCCCACCTGTCCAACTGGTAACGTGGTGGAGAAAAAGAAACACTGTGTATTTAATGTTCTGTTTTTGATGTTGCCGACTAAACTGCAAACAAAAATTGACTTGATTGATCATACTGTGTGAGTATGTGTTTACCAGAAGTGTTCCCAGGTCTTGTTGGTCACCAGATTACCAGTCCAGCTGTGGGAGATCTCATGGGCGATCACCTGACGGGATGAGCACATCATGAACACAACACATATACATACAGTACATACTGTATGTAGATATATACACATGAAGCTCAACATTAGAACAGTGTCAAGTTTTACTCACATTAGACAGAGATTTATCTCCTGCCTGTAAAGAGACAAACACTCAGTAAACCGATGATCAGAGGTCACATGAGTCTGTTACACAGCTCAGGTGATGTGAGCACTTCACCAATAATCTTATGAATTTCACAGTTATGATGCTGATGTGTTGATATGTGAATGTATACCAGCAGTGTCGGCGTGGCGAAGGTCAGACAGGGGTTCTCCATGCCTCCATAGGGGAAAGATGGAGGAAGAACCAGGATGTCATACTGTCCCCAGACGTATGGTCCAGCCAGATCCTCAGCGCTCTTCAACATGGTCTCCGTCTGAAAGACACAGACACTTGAACTTCAGTCCAGGCCTTGGTAAGAGAGGTGACCAACAACCTGATGGCCGCTTTGACTGAGGTCCAGAGATCCTGTGTGGAGGTGGAGAAACTTCCAGAAAGACAACCTGCTTCATGGTAGAGTGTCCAGACAAAGCTCCTTTGCAAAAAAATCACTGAGAGGACTCAGACTCTAATACTACAGGAAATGACTAGACTTTAATATTTATAACACACAGTTCAATGCCAGTTGGCAAGTTAAAAATTTAATCTACTTAAAAAACGTCATAGAAAAACATTGTAAAAATGTCAGTGCAGTAAGGCGTAAAAAGTCATAAAAAAGTCATAGTATAGTAAGGCATAAAAACGTCACAGGTTAGTAAGACATAAAAATTCATAAAAACTACATTGTACAATAAGGAATAAAACGTCGTAGGATAGTAAGGCATAAAAATTCATAAAACTTACATAGTATGGTAGGGCATAAAAAGTCATAAAAATGACAGTGTAGTAAAGCATAAAAAGTCATAAAAATGTCAGTCATAAAAACCACATAGTATAGTAAGACAATAAAAGTCATAAAAAAAGTCATAGTATAGTACAGCATAAAAAGTCATAGGAAAGTAAGGCATAAAAAGTCATGAAAACATCATAGTATAGTATGGCATAAAAAGTCAAAAAAATCATAGCATAGTAAGGCATAAAAAGTCAAAAAAGTCATAGTATAGTAAAGCATAAAAAGTCATAAAAATGTCATAGTCATAACCACATAGTATAGTAAGACAATAAAAGTCATAAAAAAGTCATAGGAAAGTAAGACATAAAAAGTCATAAAAAATTCAGAGTATAGTAAAGCATAAAAAGTCATAAAAAAGTCATAGGAAAGTAAGACATGAAAAGTCGTAAAAATGACATAGTATGGTAGAGCATAAAAAGTCATAGAAACGACATAGTGTAGTAAAGCATAAAAAGTCAAAAAAACAACATAGTATAGTAAGTCATAAAAGGCATAAAAGAGACATAGTATAGTTAGGCATGAATGGCAAAAGAACAAAATAGTATGATAAGTCATACAAGGCATAAAAACGACATACTATAGTAAGGCATAAAAAGCAAAAGAACGAGGTAGGATAATAAGTCATTAAAGTCATAAAAAAGTCATAGTACAGTAAAGCATAAAAACGACATAATATAGTACAACATATAAAGCATAAGAACGACATAGTATAATAAGACATAAAAGACATACAAACGACACATTATAATAAGACATAAAAGACATACAAATGACATAGAACATCATAGTATGGTAGGGCAAAAAAGTCACAAAAAATTCAGAGTATAGTAAGGCATAAAAAGTCATAAAGAATTCATAGTGTAGTAAAGCATAAAAAGTGATAAAAAAGTCATAGTATAGTTAGTCATAAAAACATCATAGTATATTAAGGCATAAAAAGTCATAGTATAGTAAGGCATAAAAAGTCATAAAAATGTCATAGTCATAAAAACCACATAGTATAGTAAGACAATAAAAGTCATAAACAAGTCATAGGAAAGTAAGGCATAATAAGTCAAAAAAACATCATAGTATAGTAGGGCATAAAAAGTCATAAAAACCACATAGTATAGTAAGGCATAAAAGGCATAAGAACGACATAGTATAATAAGTCATAAAAGACATAAAAACGACATAGTAAAGTGAAGCATAAAAGGTCATAAAAATGCCATATTATGGTAATGCATAAAAAAGATATAGAATAGTAAGGTATAAAAAGTCAAAAAACGCCATATTATGTTAAGGCATAAAAAGTCATAAAAACGTCATAGTATAGTAAGGCATAAAAAGTTACAAAAACGTCATAGTATAGTA